CTTCTTGTTCTGTCCCTGTCAAATAAACCTATAATAATAATAAAAATAATATCAGGAACTTTTCTCTCCAACTACGATATGAAAGTCAAACTCCTCCCTCTGGTGGTAGCTATTGGAGTTACATGAGGATAGCTTTTGTTATCTTTGGTACATGTTCTTTTCAATATTTTCTACTGGAAATCATTGTACGTTCTAAAACATGAAAAGACTGCAGTAAAAAGTTGAATTATATTTTTAAACATCATAATAACTTAATAATTGTGTGCACGTGTGTGTTGTGTGCGTTGTAATGTAATCTTTTATTTATATACCGCCTTTTCACTGCACATCGGAGTCTCAAAGCGGTTTACAATTGTTATTTTTTGGGAGCGGGTCCAGTACAGGAGGCACATGCCAGACCTATTGTACATATTTTTAGTGGTAGGGGAAACCGGAGCACCCGGAGGAAACCTACACAGACACTGGGAGAACATGCAAACTCCACTCAGAAAGACCCTGGTCCAACCGGGATTTGAACCCAGGACCTTCTTGCTGAGAGACGAGAGTGCTATCCACTCAGCCACCGTGCCGCCGTTATGTTGTGTGTATTTGTTTTTGTGCGTGTGTGTATGTGTGAGCCAAATAAGTTTTTGCTTCATCCACTCTCTTTTTGAAACTCTTTTATTTCTATTCATTTTGTATATTGTTTCATTGTTTGTATTTTGATTCTCGTTTATACTTTCATTTTTGACAAACATTTGAAGTAAACATTCTTCCAACTGCTACTAACTGAATATTTCTTCTTTAAAAGCCCTATGAATGCGTCAGACATGTTGAACTCTTTCCCTTTCTGAACAAAGCAATGTGTTTCAAAATCAATTGTGATAAAACTGTGGTGAAATACTGCATTTATAGATGAATACGTCAGCTCCAGGCTAATAATACACAAGAAAATCAACCCAAACAAACCAACTCGCACATTCCCACAGTCTGTACACAAACGGCTGTGGACATTACTCATTTATAAGCTGGTCTTTGCATTTATATACCGTATGCTTCCTCTGGTGAGCATCAATTAAACATAGCCCAAGCTGGCAGGAGATAGACAGTACAAGCTATACTGAAACACACAGAAAAACATCTTAGTGCTTTTGCGCCGCTTTTGCCTCTCTGAATATTTCAGTATTGATGAGGTCATTACTGATGATAACACAGTGCAATGTCAGCAGCCTTCACGCACATGAGGAGTCCGGTTGCATCTGCTGCTCACACTGCTCAGCTGGGACTGTGTGGGTTTGTGTGTGTGTGTGTGTGTGTGTGTGTGTGTGTGTGTGTGTGTGTGTGTGTGTGTGTGTGTGTGTGTGTGTGTGTGTGTGTGTGTGGAAAACCAGGGGGATCTGACTTCCTGGAGTCTGTTCAGTGCAGTGCAGATACCCATATTCTCATTAAAGGGCCGTGGCAAGGGCGTGAAAAGTGTTGATGTGTGTCGATAGGACGGTGAAATGCAAACCAATTAATCTTTCTATTTAAAATGTATAATGAGGTCTGTCTCTATCAATAATTAGCCTAGCACATTGCTCATTGTTCATTAAAGGAGGAGGCCTGGAGTTATTTTTTTCTGATCCATCATCAAGGAGGATCTCAGGGAAATGAAGATCCAGGACATTTAAGGTTGTTTATGGACATTTATTAACCTGCTCCCTGTGGACCAAGGGCCGTCTTTTATTGTTGAGCTTCCTGTTTGGTTCTCTGATCTGTTGTTGGTGAATTGAAAGTCCTCAGAGATGGAATTGAATGGAATATGAAGAGCTTCTGGCAGAAACATGTAACCCCGCCCCTTCTGTCTAAAAGCTCCAGTCTCATTCCTGCAATAGTATGACGTCATTGTACCACTATGACATCATAAGTTTTGGTAATATCTCAAGTGAAATGACATTATTGAAAACCACTTAGCTCTGCGTGCTGCGAATTGAAAAAAAAAGTGGCTCCTTCCCTTGATGATAGCACAGGGAGAAACAGACATAAAGAATTGGTTTATCCTTATTTGTTTGTGTGGATGGATGTGTTTCTGCTGCTACTGGCCACCTACATTTCTCCCACGGGGATCAATTATGTAATTGAAAAAATGACAAAGTATATCATCTCATTATCGTGTTGAACGTACACAAATGATGCAGTATGTATTCTTCTTTAAATATAGGCAAGAGTCACGTTCTTTCTGCAAACTGGAAAACGTTTATTGCAGAGCTGCACAATCTCAATGTCAGTAGATTGTGATTATCAAGACCTGAACTAAAATACTCCAAAAATGTGGTAGCAACAACAAAAAGGGGATGAAGACGAGGTAAAGCCCTAACCCGTGGATGAAGAAGAGCAGCATGAATTTCTATCTGAGATCGCCCAGTCCTCATGTGTTTGTTGTTTACTATTCCTACGACACATCACCGTAGGGTAAAACTAACCTGTTGTTAGCATGTTTGTTTAGTCCATACATCGTGTTTGAAGAGAGAGAGTGAATAATTGAAGAGGTGTGTACATGTATGGACAGAACATACTTGTGTGTGGCTGCAATATGTTGTGCATGTTAATGTTATTGTAGCGTTTTAAGTTGAGAAATTGATTTAAAATTGAATGTCTACTGATTTTTTTGTGCGACCTGATCTTGAATTTTGGATATGAAGTTGTTATAGTTGTTGACCTAAAGATCAAGGAAAAAAACTAAATAAAAGTAGTTTGTTTAAAACGGATCCATGTTTTTGACAGTGGTATAGAGTAAGTAAGTAAGTAATGTTTATTGCGCATTTTACAGACCAAGGTACAGACCCAAAGCATTTTACAATGTTCAGAGTCAGATATTGTTCCAATCCTTCCTCACACGGTGATGACAGAAGCCCCAACCAACACCATCCATTCACTCACTCATTTTTTGTTTTGTATTTATTTTTATTTTTTTATTTCACCAGACATGTACACACAAGACACACAACACAACATAACGCAATGACAAATCCCACCCACCAGGAAACCTCAAAACAAAATACACAAGCCCGCCGACAGATGCATAACTAACAGGCAAGACAAAAAAAAAACCAAAATATATAACTAAAATAAACAACAACAAAAAATAAGAAAAACAAACCAAAATAAAAAACAGAGACCAATTACACACAAGTCCCCGAGGCCTTCATCCACTTCCATTTTTTTTCGTGCACAATTATCCTTTTTGTGTTTGAAGCTATTATTCTTTCCATTACATATTGTTGTTTCAGTTTATTTTTAAAGTTATTCAAACAGAGTTCTGCATTGGTTTTACATTTAAAGATAACTATTTTACCCATCAGGATCATTACATTCTCTACATTCGTTGAGCTGTCCAAGATTCCCAACATTATGTTCATGGGATTGATGTCAATCTCGATCCCTAATCCACACAACCCTCTTTGGACCATCGTCCAGAATAATGAAACATATGGGCAAACATAAAATAGATGCATTAGGTCACTCACTCATTTACATCCAGACCTATTGTGCATGTTTTTAGTGGTAGGGGAAACCGGAGCACTCGGAGGAAACCTACGCAGACACAGGGAGAACATGCAAACTCCACTCAGAAAGGCCCTGTTCCGACCTGGATTCGAACCCAGGACCTTCTTGCTGAGAAGCGAGAGTGCAGAGTACTGTTATACTGTGTTATCTGTTACATGCATGTCCACAATGCTACAAGTGTTTAGTTGTATAACTTAGACATACAATAATACAATATCAATCTTTACAAGTCAATCTTTTGAACTGTTTTAGTCGATCGATTTCACAGTGACTTTTGTTTACTGTTTTATTTGTTTTATTTTTGTCTTTTAATGTTGTTTTATGTCTGTATTTGTCTGTGCACACTGGAGACTTTTGCTAATGTATTCCAATGTGGTTTTTTTTACTGCAAATGGCAAATAAACTGAATCTGAATCTGAATCTGAATCAAAGCTGGGGCACTGACATCAGGACGTGATTCAGAATTTGACCAGAAAATAAGACCAAGATATTCAAGAGTTCAAATAAACAATATTTAATTCTCTTTACTAATACTAATACAAATCTCTATGAGCTCCTATTTCCCTATCTATCCCTATGAGTTGAGCAAAAACTGTCCCTGCGGGCCTATAAATTATGGAGGTCAGCCAGGCGCTCTGAGAAGACCTCCCTGTCCGTGCTCAGACTGACTCAGCATAGATTGATCACGTTAAGTAAATATGCAAAGGGGCGGGGCGTATCATCTTTTGGCCCCCGGAAATGGCGGCAAGACCAGTTCTGGGTCTTGAACTTTGGAGTCTCAGTCCGCATCCTCTTTTCTCAGCAACATCTTCTCGTATCTGTAAGACACTTGGAAAGAACAGGAAGCCACTAGGTTCTACTGCCCTCAGGTTCACATCTGCTAGTTTCGAATGCGGAGCGACAAACAGGAAGCTGCCTGTACTGAATACTTGCTATTCTGCTGACCTCTGACATAAAATGCTTTGAGCACAAACCAGCAATGAAGTCTACCCCATTGCACGTCAATCATCTCAAACACATTATGAGGAATATAGAACACAATAAAGATCAATATAAAACACGTGAAAGATTAATATAACTGTTAATACATACTTTAAAGCCACAACAATGTTCTATTACTCGTTCACATTTATTAGTGATAGTTTTCACATGTATTTTTGTCCACATCTTTGGATCCGCATATTCAGACAGAAAGGGGGAAAAGAAAGAACCACCCTCACTCAGCCAATCAGAATAAAGTGTCAAATAGTGACTCACAGGGCTCTTTCTCACATTCATGCAAAAGAGGTTTTGTGGGAATAATGTGGCGTGATTTGTGAGACAAAGATCAAAAAGTACCAAAACTATCACTAAAAAGTTATGTATCCCAGTTATGTACCCCAGCTTTAAGCGTAAGTGACTCCTCCATCAACATTATTTTACCCACATACAAATCAGCCAAACAAGCCAAACCAATAAACCGCTGGCTCCGGGTCTCAGGCAGAGCTGGTAAAAGCAGAGGCCCGAGCGGGACAGAGAAGAGTGGACAGCAGGTCGTGGGAAGGCACAGTGTGACCCTCGGAGGGCAGCACTAACACACTCACCACAAGATGAGGAATTTCAACTGTTTGTTCTAAAATGGAGCCATCAAAGCCTGGACTGTGCATCTTAAAAGTGGTCCGTTAAGATTAAGTGACTCTAAACAGGCCGCCTGGAATGTGTGACCGTTTTGTGGCAAAGACTTCACTGCGTTTTCTGTTGGATGGTGTTTCTCAGGCGGGAGCATGGGTAGAACTGACACAGATATATTCCCCCTGTTTTCACTTTTTTCCCAGATAACAGATGCCCTTGGATAAACTGACAGAACCAATGCATCACATTTATGCCATAAGCCGCTCCGCCTCAGTCCTCTCTTTTACCCATAAAAATACCTATTTATAGTAATAGATGGAATGTTTTGCCCAAGGAGTATTTCAACGTTCTCATACGGAAAACTAACGGCCGATAAACTAATACAATATTTACTTTGTTACGACTTTAAAGGAGATGTACTAACTAGATAGATAGATTGATAGATACTTTATTGATCCCCCGCTGGAGAAATTCAGGTGTCCAGCAGCAGAAGACTCTTTTTGTTGTTGTTGTACAGTCAGTCAGGTTTGTTGTACAGTCTGACAGCCGAAGGAACAAATGATCTCTTGAAATGTTCCGTTTGGCAGTGTAGTGATAGGAGCCTGTTGCTACGGTTACTCATCTGAGCGGCCATAGTGTCATGCAGAGGGTGTCTGGAGTTACCCAGCATGCCCTGCATTAGAGCCCTCATCCTTCTCTCCAGCACAGCTCCCACAGACTCCACACTTCCCCCCATCACAGAGACACATCTCCAGATCAGCCTGTCGAGCCGGTTACTGTCTCTCGAGTTCAGAACCCAACACGTAACCCCGAAGAACACGGCACTAGCTACCACAGACTGGTAAACAATGTGCAACATCTGACTGCTCACATCAAAGGACCTACTGTAAGCTGAGTTGAGTTTTTTGAGCTTTTAACCATGTGACAACATTGTGCCTCGTCAGGAAATGTATAACTCCGCCCCTTCTGCCTAAAAGCTCCTGCCTCAGTCCTGTAATAGTGTGATGTCATGTTACCTCTATGACATCACAGTCAGAGCGGTTTTGTGTCTTTCAAAACAAAAGTATTGCCCATAATTTAGCAATGTATAATAAACCTGCAGCTGGTGCCACCGTGGTTAGCACTTGTGCGTCACAGCTAATGAAGTTCCTTGCTGCAATTCTACCTCCAGGCCTTTCTGTCTGGAGCTTGCATGTTCTCCCCGTGTCTGCGTAAGTTTCCTCCAGGTGCTCCGGTTTCCCCTATACCACTAAAAACATAAATGCGCCTTCTGTATGGCGACCCCACTTGCATCACTGTGTACGGTGAGAGGACGAATTGCATGATCTATTTTTATCTATTCTTTAAAAAACACACAAATGCCCTCAACAATTGTGAAGCGCTTTGCAACAAGACCAACAGCATTGTTTACCCTTCACACTTGTTTCACCATTAATTATTTTACTCAAGATATCATTTCACATTCAGAAAGAAATACTGCTTTCTTTAATACAAGTTTGAATCTGACTGCACTATAGACATACACACAGTCCTGTTTCATAGTCAATACGTGGACCTGTCGTATAAATCTCTCTCCAGAACCGTTCAATCATCACAGTTCAAGCCTCTGACAAAAGGCCTTCCAGAAATACTCCTTCTATAGCAGAGCAGCGGACATCCATTATACACCACAGTCAAACCTTTAAGAAAAACCCCCATAAATGTGCAGTTTGGTCGGGGCAGGTGAGACGGATCCGGAGATCAGTAATATCCACCGAGCACATTCATTACTACTTCACAACTTTGCTCTCTCCGCTCCAACCTGGCAGACAAAGCAAGCGGAGCATCCAACTGCAGCTTAGGCCCGTTCGCTGCAAACCGCTCAAGTGAATAAAAGCCATTATCCGTTAATTATTTTTTCTCCTTAGTAGTAATCTCAAAGTGCGTAAAGAGGATGGAAAGGGGAATTTTCCAACTGCCGACTGGAAGTGGGAGAGAAAACCTGCGGCTTTTTCGATGAAGAATTACAACTGATTTAGAAACAGCACAGGGGATTTAAAGCCTGATCCAGGGCTGCACGGTTAATCGCAATCCATTTGAAATGAGCAAATAGCAAAGACTACATGTACTTCAATTCTTTGCAAGCAAAAAGAGACAAAAAGCCAACAAAAAAATTACATAATAACATTTTGAAGATATGTAAATTAAACCAGCAAGTATTTTTTGCCTTATTGTCATTTCTCATCCCCAATACTAACTTTGATGACTATAAAAATGTTGTGAGACAAGATTAAAAAAATACTAGGAAAGTTCATGTTAAATCAAATCTACATATTTTATACATAATAAATATATACAGATTCCAGGTCACATACAGTACCATATTTGACCTTTACTGATTCTTAATTAATAATAATATGGGCGATTTTCAAGCACTAGCCAATCAGAGAACAGAATGCGTTTCTCATTTTCTTGGCTTGATTTCTCTTCACATCTATAAAACAACATTCCCAAGAAGTATCACAACACAAATAAAATCAGATACAAAAATAAGTGGTCATATATTGTACTGTCTCTAGCTAAACCTGAAGAAGATGACATATCTGGGATTGCGTCTTAAATTCTGACAGAAGACATGTTTTATTGTCAATGGTAGAGACAGCACGAACAATAGAATGCAAGTGTATTATACAGAGCGGAGGCATGGAGACCTCCAATCAGCAGCTGCCACAGTGCCATGTAGCTTGGCCTTCAGATAGACACAACAAGGGAAAAGTACTGGCTTCTGCACATTGATAGAATGATGAGTTTAACTTTAACAAAAGTTGCTTAAAAGTGTTATGAAATCTCACAAACCCCAGCAGGTGGTTTGCCTCAGTAAACAGTAGGAGCTACACGTGCCACAGGGAGATTCTGACACCAAAGTGTGATTAAAAGTGTGACTAATTCAAACATGTATACAGACTTTTTCAGTATATTTCTAGAGATTCCTTCTAGATAAAAGGAAGTTTGGACTCGATAAACATTTTCTGGAAAGTGTGGAGTTTCTAATGTGTGTGTGTGTGTGTGTGTGTGTGTGTGTGTGTGTGTGTGTGTGTGTGTGCGTATTTTGTATTCTATCAAATCATATTGTTGGTTTACCGGCTTTTTCATCTTTCTGGTTAATCCGTTTATTTGTTTTGTGTAAAATTGTGCTCTGGAGATTTTGCAGGAAACATGTTGATTGCTTTTATAGACAAAATCAGAGTAGACTTTTTAGGATATCAAAAATCACATTGCAGTCGCAGTGTTGGTCAGACATCTTTTTGTCACAACCATGCAGCATAATCCTTAGATTATACAAGGTAAGGCGACACAAGGTTATTTGTATAGCACAATTCATACACAACGCAAGTCCAAGTGCTGAACAAAACCAGACGGAAACAACCACACAAGGCATTCAAATAATAAATAATCACTGTACATTTAGAAGAGCAAAGATAAAGATTAAACCCCTCAGTTGTATGCACAGCTAAACACCTGGATTTTAACATTGTTGGAGAAGAGGCCTGTCTCACACTTTTAGGAAGTTGCATATGTCTAAATATACAGTGTCTTTATTATGAAGACTTCAATTCAGTGTATTTTTGTAAAGCTCTAAATCACAGTCGTCTCAAAGGACTTTAAAAAGTTGTCAATTCAACAACAACAGATCAGAGAATCAAACAGTTCGACCACAGGAAAAGCAATAATAAGACATAGGCGCTATTTAGTCCATTTGGGAGCAGGATGATCAATGTCCATAAATGCTAATCCTCACTGTCCTTAGACCCTCTTGTGTCGAGATGTGAGCGACCAGTGATAAAACCCAGTGATAAAACCCAGTGATAAAATCTGAGAATCATCCAAAAATCCTTTTCATGCCTAAAAAGAACCCCTACACTGTGTTAGCATCCTCAACCACCTGTTTGGATGCGTGGGCTACATTTCATCGCTAATTCTCTCTATAGGTTGACATTTTGCAGCCTGTCTCGTGGCCACTTTGTAATTTACTGTGCTCCAGACAGGTGCAGCTGAGAAATGTCACGCCATGTGCACGTCGTATAACTGCACACAACCAGAGCCCTGACTTTAATGAAAACAATGCAATCAATACAGACTACAAAAGCTTCCATTGTCCAGTCCACTAGGCAAATGTGTGCTGGTCTCTGCATGGCACTTGTTGGGGATAGAAAAAAAAAACCCTGTCTCAGTCTGTCTCAACAAATAAACAACCAACCAAGCTATTTTTTTTATAAAGCATATTTCAAAAACTAATTGTCATTCTAGCATCCTAGCAATAAGTAAAATCATATAAAAGAATCAAAACAAGATGTGAAATATATAAACAAATGTTATCCTTATTGCATTGATATACCTTACAATAATATCAAAAGATCCTAAATTAAGTGCTTAAAGTATAGCCTTAACTGTCTTCGAACAAGATCTGCCATGTGTCACTAAGCCAAGTCTAAAACAGTACCAATCATACTTGTAAACGCAGCTGAATGGTACACAAATTATAAGAGGAAAACTGTTCAAGCACTAAATAACCTTTTTTGTCAAACAGCCGAAAGCAATTTTAGACTTAAAGTAGATTTTAAAAGGACAGAGGAAATTGGTTCCTATAGTCAGTTCACTACATGTTATTTACTGTATTGTTAACTTTGCATGTGACAAATAACATCTATCTATCTATCCATCTATCTCTCTATATCTGTCCAGAATGCAGGGAAACCCATGCTGATATAGACCAAACATACCAAATCAATTTACGGAAATGATTTTTATGGGAAAAACTCAATTATATGAAGGGACTATCTCTGCTGCTGTAGCCGGCCTGGTATGAACCCAATTAGCGGCGCGTCTTATCAGATTCGTTTAGAAAAATCGTATAAAACTATGTGTATAACAGGCTGAGACCGAGAGAAAGGACTTTGACAGCTCGCTCTGTGCGCAGTCTGTCAGCCTGGGAACAGTCTCACGTTACGAGCGCCATGTGCGTTTGAGCTCCACACACAACAACACAAGTAACAACAACAGCAGCGGCATCAGAGGGGAGCGCGCGCACACACACACACACACGCACACGCACATACATACACGTGTGCACATCATCAAACAAGTCTCTCCACTTACATCTCAGAGGATGGAGGTTGGCTACGGCACAGGAGCGCATGTCCACACGCTTGTCCCATCGCGCATCCTGCCTCTCGCCTCCCCGGGCCCCAAACAGCTGCAGTCCGTCAGGCAGGTGCTCTGGAGAGGAGATGGGGCGGCTGTGGCTGTGATGGTGCCGTTGGAGGGGGGTGGGGGGTAAAGGCGTGCTCTGTCGGGTGCTCAGGTCCGATGTGAGGCGCTTCTCCGCTGTGCAGACTCCTGCTCCGGCCGCGCGCAGGGATTGGTCGCGATCCGGTAACTGATACTGAGCCAAGCAGGGAGAGAGAGAATTTAGCAGGGACTAGAGAGCGCTTTTGCCTTCATCCACAGAGCGCATCGCCGGTTCAAAACGCGCGTCAGTTAAATGTGGAAGAAAGTACAGGCTGCTGTCTACTATCCAGTACGCGCGCCCCAGTCTGGCCAACTTGGCACATTGGAGTGGTATGCAAATGTGGGTAGTTCCTGATAGTGTATAACAAGCGTCTGCTAATGCGTTTATAACTGTTGCACTGCTCCCTGTGTCTACCACGCGGGACAGGTCTCAAGGTCCAACACGACGCCTCTGCCTTATATGGCTTTTACTGCTCTGACAAGGAAGCAGTGGAACCAACGAGAATCTGTCTGATGTCTGCTCCAAAGCTCTTTGAAATAGGACCCTGAGACAATGTTGACGTTAGGTCCTTAAAATAACCTTCACATGTTTTCAGATGTCAAGTGCTTTGAGATATAGTCAAACTCTGTTTGATATAGCTTACAAGTTAAACTAAAGATCCATCAAACAACAATCCAGTTTTTGGGATATCCACATTCCCATTTCTGGCAAAAGATCTCAAAACAACCTGATAGCATTAAGAACAAATATGTATCTAATTTGAGTGTTTAAGTGTTTAGTGCTTTGTTCGATGATTATGTCTTTGTTTTGACAGGAGAAGACTTGTGTTTCTTTGATTTGAAAATCTATGTCAGTCAATAATGCCCATGGGAAATCAGGGATCGAAGCAAAGGACAGAGGATAATGTTTTCGAATACCGTACAAGCATTTGATCTTGCTCAAAGCCCAGTGAGTTAAATGGAATCTAAATAGTAAACTTTACTTTATTAAAAGGTTTGCTTGTAATGTAACTTTTTCAATACAAAACTGTGTTCTCAAACGAGATGAAGCATGTGAGTGATCATGTCTCACACTGCCTCGTGGCTTACTGCTGTGTGTTGCTCTGTCCCTTGGGTTCAGACCCAGTCAAGATAGCAAAGATTGCAAGTCATTCACCTCCTGTGAAGAGAGAACTCTCCCAGAGGAGGTGTTCTTAAGTCCCTGTGGGAAATGGCCATTAGGGAGACTGGTCCACTGAATTTCCCCTGTGCCTTAGAAAATAGAAATACAGAAACCAGAGTGCAGCCGGACAAGGAGTTAAAAAATAAATAAAACAATTCTCAGACGCGTGTGGTCTTTCTTTGTGGAGTATGTTTTTTCTCCATTGGTCCCATGGCACTTCATCAACACAAAACATGCACATGATCCTCACTCCAGTTAATTCTCAGGATCTGAGTCTGAATCAGGCAAAGCAATACAGTCACAAACTTCCCTAACTTCAGGTAATTTAGAGAAAACCAGAAATGTCCACACAGTAGTAAGAGACTTACCGAGACTGAGAGTCTGGGTGCGCTTTACAATTATTGTGGTCAATTTTCCTCTCACTTTACATTGATGGAAGCTGGGTTGCCTAATGGACCTAGTATGTTTTAGTGGTAGGGGAAACCAGAGTACCCAGAGGAAACTTATGCGGGGAGAACATGCAAACTCCACAATCAAACCCAGGACCTTCTTTCTGCTCACCACCGTCCCGCCCAGTTAGCTATGTATGTAACTTCTGTGGCTTTCCAACTGCCACATTGATGGATTACATGATCAACTACAGTAACTATTTATTTTGAAAGCAGTAACAATAGGTCTCAGTAGGCCAATGCTATTATACACTAATTACATTATAGTCTGCATGTGTTATTATTAAAAAGCAGGGCAGTGTTGTTGAGTGGTGAGTGATTGACAAGTCCTCAGTTCTGATTCAGCATGCTTAGCCGTGGTCTGGCCCGTCCTGCTCCGGTCGGTGTTTTTGTTGGTTCTTGGCGTTGGGTTTCCTCACCGCACAGGAGCAGAGCGGTGGCTAATGAGCTCTGACTGCTAACACCTGGGAGAATCACCATCACTATTGGCGCTTGCTGGATTTTCATTTAAAACAACAGCGCTACGTGGGTGAGCTGCTGCTATCATTTGCTATTATTGCACAAATAGCAGCGAGGAAGTGAAATCTGAAGTCTTCTGAGACACTCTGCCTAATTAAAAATGACCGGCACTGATTAGAAACAACATGGCCTCATTTGACATTTCATTCAGGCCAATAATAAGACCAGCTCTACAAGCACGCTTTTATTTTCTTACTATCTTGGTTTGAATCTTTGTTCTATTTCATAAAGCAATGGTTACATCCCAGATAAAACAAAGCCTGATTTTATTACACCACTACCAGGCAATTACAGGGGGTTCAGAAGTCACTTTGAGCTTAAAGGTACAAGGCAACCTATCATCACAATACTCTAGAAACATAGCACACACGTTTTTGCTTGTCACTGTAATGGGTTTTAGATTTTTAGTGTTTGGAGAATGGCCGGTTAAAAGGCTGTTGTGCATCTGGATATTGCTCATATTTGTCTTAAGCGCTGTTATAGTGACATTTTCCAGTGAAGTCTTCTGTTTTACTGTTATCAGTAAAACCATGCTGGACGGGACTGGTGTGTCCTCTTTTTAGGCGGACCCTAAAAGAACTCTTGTTTATTTATAATTTGTGTCGTGATGTGGATGATGGCCATGTCACTGTCCAAACAGATAGGGGCTGATTGAAACCAGGGTCGCTCAGAGGGACAGAGGAGGAGAAGGGGCTGACAAAATGCAAAGTCGGAGGCTTTTTTCTTGCTCTTCGTAACCAAGTTGGTGCTTTTGGCGTAGCCCGTCAACTTTTCAGTAGCAGTCAAAGGGAAGCACTGATGAAGTGGTGTTAGAATAGAAGTGAAAGTTAAAGAAAATAGAAGAATCAAATAAAGGATTACCATACAATGCAATTTATTCTTGTATAGCCCTAAATTACAACAGAGGTCATCTCAGAGACTTAACAAAACCATTGAAATCACCAACACAGGTCAGAGAATCAACAGTTAACACACATAAAGAATATAGAACACATGTTGTAGAATGTTAAAGTGTCCTGGATCATCACCACATCCTTCTAGTTCAGGGGTCGGCAACCCGCGGCTCCGGAGCCGCATGCGGCTCTTGAGTGCTCCTGGAGTGGCTCCTGGAGCCTTTTCAAACATGTCTGAAAATGGAGTGTGAGGGCTATATTTTATTTCTAGTTTGAATGTGGTTTCTGTAGAAGGAAACACAATCTTTACGTTTTTAAATGCTGTAAAAATGTGTATAAGTAATATTTAATTTCAACATTTCTGTCAACGTAGTGCGTCATATCCTATGACGCGCGGTCACGCGGCCCCGCCCCATGCGGCCGCTGCTGTAAACAAACCGGCGTGTGTGCATCATAGACTGTAAGTGCACATGGATCCCAAAGCTAAAACGAGAAAGAGTCGATAACAAGACTGGACTAAGAATGAGAATGAACATTTTATTTCAGTCAATGAGGAAGGACTGCTTCATGTTTGTAATGAAAAGTTTTGTTGCAACACGAGGAACAATGACGCGCAAAACGACGTAAACGGTGATTACGTGAAGGATTCATTCATCAAAAATTCAGAGCACCTATTTTCAGACTTCAAAACCTTCTCAAAGACGGTGAAAGAAAAGGCCATTAAGGATTTTAATTCAGCTCCAGCAAACTTCAGCCTGTGACGTGATGGATATGAGCAGACAGTGATGCAGGTATGTGACCTCTGAGCCCAAAGCAGATTGATTTACTGTATTTCTAGAATTGCATGAAGGCAAAAAAATGGAAGTTAAACTAAAGCAGAGTCGTCACGTGTTGCGTCATTCACGACACGCGTGGTGCGACACGCTGCAGTGAAAACACACATTTGATAATCATGAATGATTATTATGTATTTGTAGCCTTTACTTTGTCATTTAGATATTAGGCTAATATAGCTAATACATCTTGCAGCCTGTGTTAACTTCATAAAAGCCTTATACAAGGCTGTTATTTTTTTGCGGCTCCAGACAGATGTTGTTTTTAGTTTTTTTTGTCAATTATGGCTCTTTGAACATTTTGGGTTCCCGACCCCTGTTCTAGTTGGACACTAACTGCCGAACAGACCCTCCTGCATCGGCAAGGAAAAACTCAACAAAAAAAAAAACAGTGGGAAAAAAGTGAGAAACACACGAACGAACGGGCTGTATATCCAGGACCAGTGGCCGCAGAACGTGGACAGGTCCGGTGCAGGACTAAAGCACTCCCAGGCGGGTCGGGCGGGGCAGTCCGCAGGTGTAGATGGAAGAGGCCAGGCTCAGAGATCCCGTCATCGTACCATGAAACAGACAATGGGACAACGGGTGAATAGCAATGAACAAACTACAGTCAGAATCCTAAAAATGCTAAACAGATAAAGTAGGAAGGAGGAGAGGATAGTGCTGTTACCATACTTCTCCAGCAGGGGGCGCCCTATGCAGCTTGACTGACAGTCTGAGGAGTTTAGCCTTCCCAGAGTCTTACCTTCCTAGCCATATGCTAAACTAAAGAGGACTGTTTTAAACCTAGCCTTGAAGGTAGGGTTGAAGATGCAGCGGCAGACTCTAAGACCAGACAAACAACCTAACCAAATTGGTATTACATTGTTGAAAAGCACAGGTATCAGGCTGATGCAGAGGTTTAAAAACAAAAAAATATTTTGTTCACAATATCCTTAGGTATCCAGGTGATTGTACAGAACATTTGGCCTTTTACTGACATTCAGGTCAATCAATCATTCAAGCTCATTTCCTTGATTGACGGACTGGCTAGGTCTAGTCTGAAGTTTCTTTGCTTTTATTATCCCACAGGGTTGTAGAGTTTTCCTTGCTAATGCAGGATGGCCTTAGCCTAGTTAACACCACATCAAATATCATGTGATTATTTAGTCTGGGAACTATCCATTAATTTCTTCATAGGAGAGGTGTGGTTGTACAAATGTCTGCACATAGCTCATAGCCAATCGTATCAATTCAACCTGAAAACATATGTAGAGTGGCAGAAATTCGACAATAGGGGAGGAAGACGAATGATGTTTGCACAATGGTTTAATGAATACTGCTGTTTGTGTAAGTTAAACATGAGGGAAGATTGCTTAGGGTTGGCTGACGTCATGTTGGATTTGTAAACAAACTAGAAGCTTCTGTCCGTTGGAAAGGATGTGAGCGCACACAGCAGCATGGGTATTCCAGGAAGGAGAGATGATCCATTGGTTCAGCTGTTAGCCTGGATGAACCAATGCTTTTATATTCAGTTTTTGGTGAACAATTCTGAGGTGCCCCGGCTTGAGAGGACTGTCTAGACCTCTATGAACCATAGTCTACACACAGTCTGGACAAAGGCAAAGCGGACACCTGTGCTCCACGCGGCTGTGCTTTGTTTGCGTTCACCTTGACCTGCGGGGCCCGGACCTCTCTGAGCTCTCACTTATTTGGCTTTTCCACTCTTTCAGCAAATTGCGTCACATAAGCCTGAACCTTCACATGCATCTCATAGCATTGACTTTTTGCCTTTTATAGTGTCAGTCAAATACACAGAGGGAAAAGACAAGTCATATTTACTTCAAATGATAACTCTGGAGATAAGTATACAGTACATTTAGTTCTGCTATGGTTATAATTTACACAAGGCTTTTATTATCTCGTATCCTCCACTTGTGGACCTATATTTCCAAAGGGGAGGTGTGTGTGTGTGTGTGTGTGTCATTTTAATAGATTCCTCTTAGGTCACACAGTGGGAGCTGTCAATTACAAGAAAGGACAAGACAGAGAAAATAAGGAGGTGGTGACACTTTGTGGGTGTGACAACTGACAGCAGGAGGGGGGAATGAGTCTGTTTGAAAGTAGAATACCTCAACTTTAATTGAAACATTTTTACACACATTTTTGGAAAGTCCCCAGTATCAAAGGAAAAAAGCTTGGAAGGGGAATACTTGTTTAACATAAATATTTAATACTATTAGAAAGATGTTTTATAATATTGATGTTATTCAATCAGCTAAATCGCAATGTCACATGTTTTATTTGTACACATGACATTCTTGAGGGCCTCTGGTGACCTTAGAGCTGCTCAGTCTGCTTATTCGGTGGAGCCAGCCCTGCAAGGGACACACCAGGAAGGCAAATGAAGGCAGGAGGGAGAGTGTGTGTGTGTGTGTGTGCGTGTGCGTGTGCGTGTGCGTGTGCGTGTGCGTGTGTGTGTGTGTGTGTGTGTGTGTGCTGCTCAGCTGGGTTCATGTGATGGTCCACCGCCTAAGGGATGTGTCAGAGAAGCCATTAGAGAGACCTCCACTGGGGCCCAAGGCTTTCATTGTTAGTAATGGAGAGTATTTTGGACTAACTGAATAAACGACCAGTGGTATAAAAAGAGCATCAGATTCAGATTCATTTATTTGCAGTAAAACAACAATAGCAACAGTCCGTGTGGATTCTTTTATTGAAAAAGAAATAGCAATGAAAACAAAACCCAGAACTTTCTCCGGGGAGTTCTGCTGCATTGGGCGGCACGGTGGCTGAGTGGATAGCACTCTCGCCTCTCAGCAAGAAGGTCCTGGGTTCGAATCCCGGTCGGACCAGGGCCTTTCTGAGTGGAGTTTGCATGTTCTCCCCGTGTCTGCGTAGGTTTCCTCCGGGTACTCCGGTTTCCCCTACCACTAAAAATATGTCCAATAGTTCTGGCATGCGCTTCCTGTACTGGCCCCTCCCATCTCTGTGTGGAGTGAGAGACAATTGCCCAAAATTAACAATTGTAAACCGCTTTGAGACTCAGATCTGCAGTGAAAAGGCGGTATATAAATAAAGATTACTACTTACTACTACTTACTTACAGGCTTCACCACAGTCTTGTTTGGCACAGTCAAGCAATTACAAATATTCAAACTGATGAGACAACAATCTTTGTCATTGTTGCCTGGTCAGCCAGACGATATGCTTTTTAATCCTTTACATAGAAACTTTTCTGATTGCGTGATCTCTGTGCTTTACCGGTGGGTGTGATTGACAGAAGAGATCAACCAATAGTCCTTGTGCACAACCTATGTTTTGATACTAATAATGCATCCGTTCTATATAGTGCTTTTTTGTATTCTTTCACTACATAACAGGTGGTGATAAAGACTCATTCTAATCAATGTGGGCGAAGTGTCTTGCCAAAGAACACAACAACAGTTTGGCACTTTATTGCCGCAGCTGCCCCGCTGTGGCACCTGGTGTTCCTAGAGTACTGACCAGGCCTTGCCCTGCTTAGCTTCAGAGGTCTGGTGGATCTGGCTTTCACATGTAGATGTGACTAGCGTGAGTACTTCCTGTGCTGTATTTGGCCTCTGTTATATACAAAAACAATGCTCCCTATCACAGTTGGGTATATTCTGCAGCTTCACACTTCACATCAGGCCCAAGGAGCAAAACAAGAAAGAACAGGACGAGGGGCCATACACAGAAACACCAGATATAATGCTCCCAACATTGATTTCCTACTCTGGTTTATTTTTCTTGTTATTCATATTAAGAAAAATACTGTGGTTCTGTTTCCGCAGTCGTCATGCACGCCAATATAGTAGAAAAGTAGAAAAGAACAGCTCCCATGTTTTACCACAAAGAAATGCCGCCTCTCGGCCTGATGGGAGCAACGGTACATGATCGTGAAACGATTGGACTTGAGCAGCCGCCCAGATTCTTCTTTTGACATAAAGAAGGTGCCACTGGCTTTTTGAAGCATTGTAAAGAGTGTATCAGCCTTGAAAGCCAACGAGCAGATTATACTCAAAGTAGGATGCAATCATAACCATTATGTCTAAATATATGAATTTCACAATGAAGCTGCAATTTTCACCAATTATCTGACCCCTAGTCCAAACGAAATATTATACGGCTCCTCACAGCAGCAGGAGACGCTCCATTGATTTGAATGTCATTTCTAAACGTTCAACCGGTCATTATTTCTTATAACGGACCTCCTCCTTCCTCCTCCGTCGAGCAAAGACGTGTCTTAGTCCGCTCCTGCTTCTGAACGGCTTGCTATCTCCTGTTTTTGTCTTTTTTCCTGGAGCTTTGCCACAGACAACTTTAACAGAATGGAAATGATTAATTGGTCCCTCAACGCAATTGATTCTATCTTTTCAACACGTAAGCGTGGGTCTGGAGAGCCCGTGTGTCCGGACGGGACTTCACCAGCGGGGTATACTCTTGACAGCTGGAACAAGTTTCAGCCCCTCTGTCTGTCGACCCTGTCCATTGAAGATTCGGAAGACGTATATATCTTTGGCATTTTGGTGGTGGGAATCCTCCTGTTTGGGTTTGGAGCGATCCTCTTCTACCACAAATTCGGAGGCATGGCAGTTCGCAAGATTCACGACCTGCTGGCCGATAAAATTGATGGGATGTACAAGGAGCTTAGCCGTGTCGTGGTTGAGAGTGCCGTGTCTGGACAAAGAAGGGTGGTTTTGGTGGAACAGTTGATCAAAGACCTCGCAGCTCGTTCACTTGATGGACATAAGACTTTGGAATTGAGATTGAATGACATTGTTTGTCAGGCTTGATCTCTCTGACCCGGCTTGGATTTGCCCCTGTGTACGGAGGTCTGAGGGCACCGGAATTCGGTTTAATTGGAATTAATAGAATATCTGCCTGCTTTTGACTGCGACATTGCAGGCGATGTGTTTTTCTCCTCCTGTGGCTTCTCTCCACTCTTATCTCACATTCCTCAGCCAAGGCCATAAACAAGGTCCCACAATCTACAACAACTCACACTATTTCAGTCTTCAGCAAGGATCCCCCACCCCCGCCTCCCTCTACCTATCCATCTTGCTCCCTTCCTCCCCTCCATTCCTTATTGTTTTCCTACTCACCCCCTCCCTGATCCCGCCCCCCTCTGACAGCTACATTGGGCCGGCCGAAGAGGTGCTCTTCCCGAGAAAAAAATCCGTGGTTTATAAAAAGCACAATGTGTCTATCCAATTGTCTGTGAACTGTATGTTATTGCTCTCTGCTGTTTCTTGCTGCACACAGCGCCGCAAATGGCGAAGTGGCACGCTCTCTGCCAAAACAATTTCCAAGTGATAACTTTGTTACTCACGTGGCAATAAAAATGATTCTGATTCTGATTCAAAACAATAATGACCGCTGCCCTTTGGCAACGCACTCTCTGCTTGTAATTCATGAGTGTAGATTACTCCGCAAGTAGTTGCGGCCACTCCGGAGCTAGCCATGCTCAATAAACACAAATACCAATCAATCAAGACAATTAAATGGTATTCAGAGAATACATTATTCATATACATTCTTAACACACGTGCACGGAGGATTTCAGAAGTATCTGTTAAGGCTTTCATGACAAAAATACTGTTTTAATGCGAGAAAAAGCGATCCCGGCAGTAGATTCCGGGACATTTTAGGAACATTTGCAAAGGATCGAATTATGGATTTAGTTTAAGTTTATGTTTGTGTCACTCACCGCTGATGTTCAGGATTCTGTGTTCAGTTTTCATGCAGTTCCAGAGA